AAAATGTGTAAACAGTTTTCTATAATTAAATGCACTGTAAGTTATTCTAATTCATTTCCTACATCTCAAGGAATCACCATAGCGCTGCTGCTAATGCTGAAGCAGACCTGGCCAGGCTCTACTGCAACTCAAATTGTTCATTGAGAGTTTTGCATTTTTGGTCATCAGGAGAAGAACGAAGGAAAGGAAGAAGGAATAGTGTCATGCATCTGAAGAAGATGTGTGAGAAGGTGAAGAAGACGGAGTGAGCATATGCACCACTGACCCTCGAGCTCCTTGACAGCAACCTTCAGAATTTTCTAAACATTAGCGGGATATTAGCTATGCAAAGGGCAACAGTGAGGAAAGCTTCTTGTCTTACTGCAGTAGGAACAACCACCTCCACATCCAGATTATAGCTAAATGCCTGCAGGTGGCCCCTTTAGTAATGCTATATTGATGGACATAATGCATACTGGAAATGCTAATTTCATCTGAATAGCATTTATGATGTCCAGCTAAAACAAGAAAAAGATCTATTTTGTGTATTTCTGTTGCTTTTTTTATATTTCAGTCTTTAAAATTTGCATTTATTGATTAACGTTTGTAGAGCATGAGAATAACATAGAGTGTTGGTAGCATCTTTCTTACTCCTTTAACACCCTTTTCCCCCCACTATTGGTCTTTAATTACTGTTACAGATAGATTTGCATATACCAGGAATACAAATCGTAGTTTTACAATGACAAAAGCTCAAGGCATATCTGAAATACTTTTTGTTCATACTGAAGGTTACCATAGGAGAGATGACTGAGAAGTATCCAGGGAGAACATTATTTTCTTCAGGCAGTGCAGCCTAAACTTCTGCATAATTTGGGCGATTGTATGATAATGAAAAATCAATGGCATGTGAAAAAATTGCATCAGAATCTTGGGAACAGATCTTTTGTGGAAGAAAAGCAAAATGGCCACAGGAAAAGGCTGATAGATTACAGGAAATATTTCCCGTTCCTAATGCTCAGAGTTCCATGCGAAAAACAAGAGAGGTATTAGCCATTTTCTTCGTATAGTCTTCATTGAATTTCTCATTCTGTGCCACAGTGAAATAATTCTTCCAGTCCCCAACGACCCCTGCAAAACAGCAAAAGTAAAGCAAAATAATCAATTTGCTGGTATTTTTTGAAGCCCATTAGCCATAACATGCCAGATAATTGCACTTCAGGTAATGGATTATTTCAAAGCAAACTATTAACCAGGAAGGCAGGGTTGATGCCAAATAATAAACCTCAGCACCTTTTCTCATGAATGGGGAAATAGAGTGATCCATTATTCCCACAAAATCTTTGGTGTAGTTTGCCATGGGATTGTCCTTCATTATATCAAACGTGGTGTGGTGGATTATCTGGTTTAATGTCTCCTCTTCCATATCCTTCTCCAGAAACTTCAGTATCTTTTGAATTTCACGCTTTGGATTCTGTGCAGACAACAAAGTGGGATAAGATACAGAGCCAGGAAAAGGAAAGAAACCAAACACAGCGTTCAAGGTACAATTATTGCCAGGGCAAAAAGATCAGATTATTTGAAGACTTACTAATACAGAACACATTATGATTAAGAACTGCTTAGTGTATGTGCTAGCTAATGGCTTTCCTGGTTTCCAGTAGAGCTCTGTAAAGACATGTTCAGCCTTTTACCTCCTTCATATCTTCGTAGAAGAGGTAGAGAATACGGTGCTTATCTTTTGCCTTCCACCATCCTTTTACATGGTCATACCAGGACCCCCAGAGCACTGAAAAAAGAAGGATGTTATGAAAAACTGTAAATGCCCAGTTTGTCTTAGTGGTGTCTGGGAATTCTGTTTTCCCCACGACCAGTGTCTGAGCTCTTCCCAATTGGCTTTGAATCACTGTGGCCATGACTCCTGTGCTCTGTGCCGTACAAAGTAGTCATGTTAATTAACCCTCTGGCATGGGATATTCATAGCAGGATTCATGTCTGACTTTAAATGACCACAAATGCAGATGCTTGGATCAAATGAAACATCTACTGTGTTTACAGCCAATGGAGAGAAACAGACATTTCTAGAGTGTGATTTATCTCATCAGCTGGACAAGACCACTCTTGGTCCTGCTTTGAGTGGGAGCTGGACCAGAAAACCACCAAAGTTTCCTTCCAGCTTTCATTTTTCTATGATTCTGTCTGTTTTAAATATTTAATATGCTATCAGAAGTGCCTGTTTCTTTCTGAGAAGTCACCAATCCTAGTTGGTCAAACAACACCCAAAGCTCCCATAGACATGAGACTGTCAAGATAGTGATGTCTCTAAGTCTACATGGTGACAAAACATTAAGACCTGCAGAAGCTTTATTGACAAAAATTGCAGACTCTCATCCA